AGCTAAAAGTGGCTGTGAATCTAGAAAACTGTAATTAATAAACTGGGCATAACTCAAGAACGGTAAATCGTATAATAATAGTTTATGAATCAAAATAAAGCTTATAATAAGAGGAACATGAATATGCATAGTTTAATTACTTAACAAATGTACAATAAGAATATATGTTTATTATTAATCTTTAAATACATCCCAACAGTTACCATTCATTATTCTCGTAGGCATATAACACAATATTTCATAATACGAAATTAATTTGTTTTGAAATTCAATCTCAGTGAAGAGCTGTTTACAATCTTAGAGTACAAATTAAAGTTAAGTATTCGATCAACTTACTACTTAATAATCTACTTTCATAGTCTGGATAAAAACTGAATGATAATTATGTAAACGTTATTTAATATATTGAATCTGCTTATCATTGAAATTATGTTTATTAATCATCAGTAAATATTTATATGAATGAATAGTACACTTAAGTATTTGACCTTATTATAATTAGTACTGCTAACCGAATGAGAACATTTTCTAACTTAAAGGAGTAGAGAAAACAATGAAGATTTGAATTTTAATTCAAGAATGATTCACTAGTGCAAACATAATTTCATCATGTTAACTACAAATTGTAAATAGTTACTTCAAAGTCCTACACATTCTTTTAACTGTTCACTTATTAACTTAGAAATTATCATCTTGGAAAATGATAATCTAATCCACATACTTTATCAATGTAGGTTTAAATTAAGATGTTCAGTTTAAAAAAGTAATTAGGTAGTCCAATTCAGTTGACAGAAAGCTTTGAACTTACTTTTCTGGTTAGTAAGAATACGTCAGTAATAGTATATTCGAAATCATCATATCATTAATGAACCTCGTGAAATTGGATCCAACGTAACATAATATCACAGCCAAATACGTTATTTCTGAGCTATGCTGATTGTAAATGATTTTCGCTAGGAATGTGTTTTTCACAATTATCGATCAATGATATTTATCTAGGCATAAGCATTAAGAAATAAACAAGAATGACCCTGGTTATTGTTCAGTTGTCAATCATTGTATGTATCCTCCTGAAATGTATCAAAAGACAAACACTATTTCTCATTTCGCAGTAATACGTAGATTCATTAGAAGGTAAAAGTATCTTCGACAGTACATTAATCTAAGTCATTTTTTGGTTATTAGATAGTAAAGTGGTATAGAGTGAAACTGAGTCCCTCGAATTAAGACTATTTAATGTATAAATGAAATATTTCAATGACAAATACTGGTATCCGAATGAGTAAAAAGTGTAGTATATCCTGAATACAAAATCTGACCAGTCAACAAACTCATGTGAGTCTAATTTTCTCCTAAAAAAGAAGAAGCTATAAGAGAAACTAAAATTTGAAATAAAAAAGGATCGCTTTTTCAGCTCAAGTTACGCATTTTGAGATTATGTTTCCGCAATCGATGACATATATGGAACAATCAGAAGACATTAAAATAAATAGGTATAAAATAATCAATCACTTATTCCTGATTGTGAAATAATTTCTTTTCGTAGTATGTTTTTTTGCGCTTTGTAACTATCAGGTCAAAAAAAATTTACAGAGCATAGGTTCATGAGCACATTTGTATGATAACACTAACAATCATATGTGTAAGAACTTGTCATTAATCTTGGTTTGAAGAAAACATCCACGTATATTTCATGTTTACGTAATAACTAGAAAACTTCTAACTTGTAGGTACATACCTAAATCACACACAAGTCATCCTAAGTTTATGAATAACGTATATAACCCTGAAAACTATAAGATAAAAATAGTTGACTAGTCTCTATTTAACGATATCATGAATCATGAATTTGGTTTCACCCAATGAACACAGAAAACAAATTTATTACGATAAAGTAATTAAATGTGAACATAAGCGTTGATGAATTCATCACTTTATTCAGTACGTACTATATATTTATCTTTCTATGAAAAGCATTAACCTTTTTAGTAAATCTAGTAGATCTCTATGAAAAAGTTCTGGCTTATTTTGATGTCATAAAAGTTGATAATAACACTTTTATGATTTAGTTTATGATTAGTCGTTATCATATCCTTTCTAACCGACAACTATCCATAATAAGTGACGTCGAATTTAATAAAAATGATGTTATCGAAAGTTGCAGTTCCCAATAAGACAAGAAAAACGTTAAATTCGGTGGAAAGATTATCTTTTCAACTAACTGTACAGTCTCATTCATGTGTAAAATTGAAGGTTTAACTCAGTGAAGAAAAATGAATGAAAGATAAATATGATGATATAACAGAAGGATATTCGAACTACACTATATAGAGTAAGTAAAAACAGTGCAAGATTATACAATTCCCCCTCTCAGGATTAGCACGAAGAGAGCAGATAAGTTAATGAATTATATTGTGAACTACATAAAATAAACAGAATGTTCCAATCGTAATTATTAGACGTACCAGAGCAATTAAATAAAATGATATTAGAAACAATTAAGAGTAAATTATGAAAAGTTATTAAAGAGAGAAGGATATTTTCAAACACGAAATTAATGAAATGAAAACATCAATATTAGTAAAACCGCGGCAAAGACATATTTCTTTTGGACATATACATCAAGGATGGCTAAAACCTTTGCTGTTTGAAGGATTTAAGGACGAAAACCCCTTGGTAGATCTGAACGGCTACTATAAACAACCTTCAAATCGATATGTGGTTTAGTTGCGATTCCAACTGATCAAACAGGAAAAAGGATTCAGCAGTTTCAACTTCTTTGAATGAATTTTTCTATCATTTTTGTTAAAAGGCTTGCTGAGTATCTGTAGTGACAAGTGTAACCAGGGGAATATCTTTTAATACCATTGACTATCTTCAGCTTAAACATTGAATTTCTATTCAGTGGTCTTAAAGTATAATGCTCGTTTTGAGACCTGAAAATCATTACTTTAATTCCTGATAAGAGCGCTGATGTGCACTGGCGAAAAGTTTTAAAACAGTTGTCCAATGACTATTGATTCTCACTTTAATGTGTGGAATATTGTTCATGAATCAATATCTACACTCGAAAAGGGATATTTTAACAATCATCCCAATGTAAGATATTTAATATTAGACAAATTATCATATTTGTTCCAAAGTAGAATTTCATTTAAGTCTCTCTATATTTTTAATGATAAAATTGTTACTGGTGAAGTCTCAGGTGTGTTACTTATTATGACATTTGTTATCTTGAGAAATTCTCAGCTCAACTGAAGGATTTGTAATATCCAGAAATTCACTACTGAATAAGTTTTAGTGCATAATTACTCTTCTTTTAGTATGACATTAAATCATAAAGTTATTGCTGATGTCTAGTCTGAAAGTTATGATGCATTTTCCTTGACTTTCTATTTTATCAGTTAAGCTCAAAACAAAATCATAATCTAGACAAAAATTATAGGTGGCCTGGAGTACAATCCAATATATGCGTGTTATCCTATTTGGGACTCGTCAGTTGGATGTAACTTCATCCCACAGTCGATGTTTATTACAGGACTTCAATCCACCATAGTTAGCTAAGTGGATAACTCAATGGAGTTTAAAGTGAAAGGTCCTGGGTTCGAATCGTGACTCGAACGCCAAATCTGGGATGCAGGTACATCCAGATGACGAGTCGCAAATAAGACAAAACGCGCGTCCTGAATCCCATTAATATCCAACAACCATCTTTGCTTAAAATGCTTGTGAATTAAGGCAATATCAAGGCAATCCGCATAGGATGCACATATACCAATAAGAGACCGATCAATTTCAGTCCTAATCATCAATGGGAAGAATCAAACAGATAATACCAAGTGAATTTAAAATTATAATCTTTTCATCTTAAACATATATTTTAGTATTGTTCAAAATATTAAACAGTACATTTGCTAGTCCACTTTCACATGTAGACATCTAGTCAACCATTACACTTTATGTAATTAATATTATATGAATACCATACGAAAATATTTCCCATAATCATATTAGTACTAATAATCAATAATGTCAACTTTAATAATTAATTAAACTTAGATTTTACTGTCATAAATGATTGTTGTATTAGATAGATTTCTATTATTTCAAATGTTCATTTCACAAAAACCAAAACAAAAGATTTTTGTGGATTAACAAAAACAACAACAAAAAACAAACAAAGACCAATCGATAAGTTTTCATCGCAAACTTTTTCATTCCCAATAAATTTTTTCAGTCATCATATTTTAATAAATAAATAACTAAATAAATAAATAAAACTTTCTACCTAACTAACAAATATAACAATAGACTAGGTAGGTGAGACTATAATTTATGAACGACCTTTCAGTGACGCTAGACTAATCGTGAGAGTGTCCACCTACTTACTAGGGCTAAATGAGAGTAATAAAGCAGTTTGAAGAATAAGGATTATGATTTACAGTTGATGTTTAACGGTAGGAATTAGATTTAAGGTTTTCATCACGAACTGACATCAGCTATAATGCCAAAAATTTATTCGGTTAAATGGGTGAATGAATTTCGCACCAAAACCTAGTACCTGTTATCGTAGATCTGATTGGTTCGTCCATAAATTATAGTCTCGCCGACCAGGTATTGTTTGTTTGAACCTTCCCGTTGAGTGAACATCAGCCCTGATATTCAGGCAATTCCAGCTGACTTGTCCTAAATAAAATGAAACGCACGTCCTGGATTCGACTAATAACCACTATCCATCTTTGCTTATAAATGTAACAATAATTTACAATTTTTTTTAAAAATTCTTATTTTAACGAAAAAAAACAAGAAAGGAAAGTTATTCTATTTATATATAGGGATTACATACTATCCACTTGATAAACATTGGTTATTGAACTAGTTGATTAACCAATTAGATTGTTGATCAATTTTTCTAAAACTATAAAGTGATTGGTTGATTAAATAAAGTCCATTGAATTTTTATAAAAGACTGAATTACATTTTTTTTAAGAAAAAATAAGTATTTAGTTATGCATTGGATTGACTATTACTCATTGTTCTATAAAATAGTATTACATAACACTTCTATATCCTATACTAATAACTTTTAATGGAGAATAAAAAGAAGATAAATTAATGCATTTATTAAACATTATTTTATTGATTACCTTTAAAGAATACAGTTACTTGACAACAATTTGACAAAATTTATTTCATCACGTTTTTTTGAAAAAAAATGGAAACAATAAAAGAATACGTAAGTTTCATTTTTTAAAAAAAAGAGATATTAAGATTGTTTTGAAAATTCTATACTAAATAAAGATAAATGACTTTTATTAGACTATTATAATTCCATTATTTTGAGGTTTTCAAATACAAATCTTATTTAAGACTGTCTATTTAGATGGTGGAGATTTGTAGTACAGGTAGATAATTTTGATGAAGTTTTGTTCTCTGAGCTGGATGATTTGGTTGTGGAACATTCCTCGTTCTTCTGATGAAATCATCAACACAAACTTTACGTAGAAGTGAAGTGTTCGAAATTCTCATTATATATTGTTTATGGTCAACAAGAACCAATCAACACTGAGGTGTACAGGACAAGCTGTGAACCAAATGTGGGGAAATTCTGACACTTCACTTTTATCTGAAGTTTGTGCTGATGATGTCGTTCAGAAGAACGATGAAAGCTCCACAACCAAACCATCCAGCTCAGAGAACAAAACTCTATTGAAGACTGTCTATTAGAATATAAATTGGTTAAATCAAGTAAAAGTGCTTAACTGGTGTTATTTCGCCAGTAATATGTATAAATTTCATCCGAAACATCAGATGAATTCATAAAAGATATCTTCAAACAAATGATCTGAGCCTTTCAAATGATAGCTGCTTGACTGATTTCTATACCTCTAACACCACTCAAGACTGACTGACTGGTTTCTATATGACAGAATTATGTGAAATCAACTTTTAAGTATCTTAAATTGTCATTTCACTGTATACTTTGTTTAGATCAAAATGTTTGAACTATTTTAGAATTCTGTATTTACATTAAAACAAAGAAGAACTATACTGGCTCCAAACTGTCTTCCTTGATGAAGATTATTGGTTGACTCGAATAGCAAGTATATCAGGGTTTGGTAACATTTACCCTTCTTTTCATTTCATTTACAGCTGTTGCTTTATTGTTTTAAATGACTAGCCAGATATCTATTACCCGACCTGTATCGTTCCGTCCTTCTATACGGCTGCGAAACATGGCCTTTAAGAGTGGAAGATATTCGTAAGTTACTAGTATTTGACCACAGGTGCCTTAGAAATATTGCGGGTATCTGCTGGGATCACCGGGTAAGTAATAGTGAGGTTAGACGCAGGGTATTAGGGAATGATGGTAAATCAGTTGATGAGGTTATGAATCTTCATCGACTGAGATGGTTGGGCCACGTGTTGCGTATGCCTGAACACCGATTACCACGACGCGCAATGCTGACTAGTGCAGGGGATAATTGGAAGAAAGTTAGGGGCGGCCAAACCAAAACGTGGCATCAGTGCTTGAAGTCACTAACTTCTGGTCTGAGTCATGTTGGGAGATTCAGACTGCCTGGTTGGGGTCCGCGTGACTATCGTAACCAATGGTTGGAGACTCTTGGTGACATGGCTCAGAATCGATCACAATGGCGTCGGTGTATACACTCTCTGTCTTCCTTAAATTAAGAGATTAAAATCGCTTCATATCTGTCTAGGAACTAATTCTTTCTTCCTGTACTATCTCCATATACACAATCTTTCTTCTATATATTACCACCACTGAATTAACTACTCCTATGAATCCGGTGTTCATCCTGTTGTGCTAATGCGGTATGGCAACTTGGACCGATGCATATACGTGCCTGGTCCTACGTTGCAGCTGACTGACTGACTGACCCGACCTGTAACCAGCAAGTTATTATTGACAACCTAAATTACTCTCCTCGATGAGTTCTGTTTTGTCGAAATGTGATAAGTTGAAGCACTAAACCGTGTTAGCAAAAATAACATCGTGCCTGGAGCAAGTATGCATTGGTTCTAGTTGAATCAGTATGAATATCTCAAACTGATCAGTATGATTTAATGCTTAGTTTAACAAACCAACAGAACCGTAAAACTTTATGTAGTAAATTCTTGTTCAAATTTAAAAACCGTAAATTTTGTGGATACATCAAAAATAAACATTCATATGAGACCTATCTTGTTTATTGCGAATTAACTCTAATTGAATGTAAGATAATTTTGAAATATAATCACTATACAGCGACCGTGACGTTTCATTAATTAATTAAATCAGAAATCGATAATAAGTAATTGGTAATGTAGTATTTAAACTAAGGTGTGCTCAGCATAAGATTAGATTGTCCTGAGTTAAATACCCTTTGTGATCATTAGCATATACATCAGAAGACAATTGCGAACTATGACAAAATAACTTTTTTAGAGTAGATAAATAACTTATGAAAAGTGGTTATATCGAGTCAATTAGCCTAGAATACACATATAATAACAAAGATTGTTCAAAATTTAACCTTGAACAATAAGCACGAGATAATTAAAAGTCATGCTACTACGATGAATTGGTATTCAGAATATATTGTGCTTTTTTTAAATACTATCATTTCCTTTTACAAACTATTTTAAAATTGAACTAAGCATCACGAATCCTCTAGTTTAACCTAAAGTTTGTAATCTATTGAACTAAACAAGCATAGAAACTGACTTAATATAATTTTATGGTATATAAATTTGTTAAATTGAAAACATTCACTAAATGAGTGAATTGTCATATTGATTTGATCACTTCTCACAGTTTAGTAATTTACTAAATCTTTTAAAAAACATTATAAAACACGTATGACACTTAAGGACACAGATTAGATTAATTCTTTAATCTGACATTTAAAGTGTTGTACACTTTATATTTAAGAAAGTACAGTTTCATCATTTATCGATATGGCTAGCAACATACTACACAAGTAAAAAATATATACCATAGATATCTTATTAAAATTACTTTTTTTTTTCGAGAACTATTTCCACAATGCCATAGACATTATACTTAATAGATAGATTAAAACCATCTAATAAAATCTAAATAATTTAAATCACATGGTTTAACTATCAATGATTGTTTATTGTTTTGACTTATTTGGATTTATTGTCTATCATAGATAGTTTTCAACAGCTTTTTTCTTTTTTCTAACTGCACAATTTCATATGATGTATACAAGTTGAAAGACCTTTTAACTTTAGATTTAAATTTAATAAAAATTATCAACTAAACTTAATAATATTAACATTGAAGATTATTGTATTTCTTTATGAGTATGATTTCATTTTTACATTTAGGAAAATAATCATTACAGTTCATCTTGTTGTACTCATGAAGCGTAGCAACTTGAACTGATGAATATATGTGCCTAGTCCTGTTATTGCTAACTAACTGAAAGAAAGAGAAAAAAATCACAATTCATATTCATTATTTAAAGTTTTTCTAGATTAGAATTAGTTTTAAATTCACTTGATATTGTTTGGCTTGTATCTTCCCTTTGAGGTATAAGACTGTAATTGATCGCTTGCACAAGCAAGTGGCTATCAGAACTCAGTAGCTGAGTAGATAACGCGATGGCGTTTGAAGCGAATGGTACTGGGTTTGAGTCCCAGAGTGAACATCAACCTCGAGATGCAAGTACATCCAGCTGACGAGTCCCAAATAGGAAGAAACGTGAGTCCTGGATTCCACTGCTAGCCACTATCCATCATTGCTTACTAAAATTAATTTTATTAGACAAACTTTTCCGTATTGTTAGTTTTCAGATATTGATAATAGTAAAAGGATTATCATGAATACAATGTATTTTGGGTTCATTGGGACATGTAATTAGAACATGTAATAATATTGTGCTTAAATTAACTCATTGTGTCATTGAATAAAAATAAAGAGGATTCAGCGAAGAAAATTATTTTTCGCTGAATATTGTGTTTGTTTTACGGATACATTTAGGGGATTTATGTATATAATTTTTTGTTGCGAGTGTTTTTATCAATGCATATTCAGAATATTATAGCATATGCTATACATAAACAGTTCAGTAGTATTATTACCTTTTGTAAAAAATTAATACAATAACTTGACTATATATAGTCTAAAAGTGTTTTTGTTAATATTCTTAACTATCAGTGTTCTTTAATTTTACATGTTTATATTGTGCCTCTTTCAGCCAGATGATATGCTACCACAAGGACCTGTTTCCTATTTACGCATTCCATCATCTCGTCCCGAAACTTATAAATCAACGTCCACTGTGTATGATGTTGATCCAATACACACTTTCAACAATAATGATGGTGATGATGTAGAAGTTGAGATTGATTTAGAAAAACTATCACCCCCATTACCACCAGATGGAGGATGGGGTTGGTTTATTGTATTTGGTAGCTTTTTATGCATGGTACTTGTGGATGGAATGTGTTTTTCCTATGGACTATTTCTTAGTGAATTAGAAGAAACATTTGGTGCATCAAAAATGCAAATGACATTGGGGGGATCATTATTAACTGGATTTTATTTCATGGTTGGTAAGTGTTGCGTTTAAATGCTCATTCACTAATTAATCGAAATTTTTATATAAATTCTCTCAAAGCTGGATATTATCTTGACTATTTCATGTCAATAAAAGAATGTAACAGTACAAGAATACAAATTAAACAATTTGCAATAGAATATCTGCACTAATCGCAATGGGCGCTACCCTGGATAACGTTGTAATATATACCTACATATTACTGAATATAGGTTATAATTTAAACGTGCTAAAACTTAATTCAATAATTGTAGACATGAATCCAAGTTAGAGAATCCCTGCTATTTGGTTTAATCTGTGATCCATAGATCTATTTATATTAACCCAATCTCTCGAAGAAGACCGGGTCAATCAGTTTGTCACGTTGTTAGAGGTCAGAGGTCAAACCAACTTAATAGCCATATGAAATGTAAGCAAACTTGAAGTTAACAAACCATTTAAAAAGAAAACAATCACACCGACAGATTCACACTTATTGAAAAATTCGAAAGTAGAACAAGATTTTAACAATTAAACAACGTAACCCAAAAATAAATCAATAAAGACATTAATAATAACTAATTTTATTGATTAATCTAACAACAATCAAACAATCCACAGGACATTTATTTCATTCTGTAATACAGTTATTTAATGTTGCAATGAAAAGTGTTAGATTTAATATTGTCTTTCAACAAGTTAATATATTTTCAGTGAAGCACTAATAAATAGCAATCACAGTATTTGGGTGCCGAGTTAATGTGAAACATCAAGGAAACATTTCCTTGAAAAAGCTTGGACCAGATTACCAGGCAAAACGTTAAATTTACTTAAAATTCTTTTTCTGCGATTTTACAAATACATTCTTCCTCTTTAAATAGCAATCAGTTTGAAAACTTCTTTCATTGAATAGGATACTTTTGGTGTGGGAAATTTTTCTTTGAAAAACTTATATTTTAAGGAAATAATTTTATTTTTTTTTTGTTATATAAGATAACGAATGAGATGAGTAAGTTATTTATGTTGGTATGTATACATATAATATGTAGGAGGTATGGCTTGCAGTTCGTAATAACTGATTTTAATAGACTATGAGTAGTTAAATTAACTAATACATAAACTAGAAATTATAGGACATATGAGAAATTAGCAACGAAGTTACTACTACGACATTAGAGGTTTTGACGGTGTGACTATAAGTTATGGACGTCCTTTGAGAGACGCCAGACTGACACTGAAAGTGTCCACCTAATAACCGGAACCAAATGAGGGTCATAAACCTGTGTAAGGAATTAGAATTGTGATTTACAGTTGATGTTTGAGGTTAGGAGTTAGGTTAAGTGTTCTCATCACGAACTGACATCAGCTATATTGCCAAAACTCCATTTACCCAAATGGATGAGTGAATTTCGCGCCAAAGTCCGAGACCTATAATCTTATACCTGATTGGTTCGTCCATAAATTTTAGTCTCCCGGTTTTGACATGATTTTACGATTTGATCAAAGAATATCATTCTAAATGAGAATAGTAAATTATTAAGGGTGTTAAACATATCTTTACGATTATTCTATGCTTTGTATATCCGTCGACCGGACAACTATTATTGGCATAGTTTCCAAAGAGAATGAAGTAGGGTGAACACATTTCAACAAACCGCTCAAATCATGCGATCATTAAGTGTATAACGAGAAAGGCAAATCAATGAATATTATTTGAGTGAATACATGTATAAATGCGAACGAGTTATCGTGAATTAATTTTTAAGCGGATTAGAGAAGCAAGTGAATAAGCTGGTACATGCGTTCAATGATACACTCTAATTCATAAAAGCTTAAAGATATGTACAAAAATGTAGACGAGTTATTGCATACTAAAACAATACACCCTATCTGTCAAACAGGTTAATTCAACGGCTTAATTAAATCGCACATAAACAGTCTTGTGTGATTACAATAATACAAAGATGGCGATCATATAATAATAAGTTGACGGTGAACGAGTTGAGCTAATGTTAGTGAAGAAAATTAGTTATAAAAAATTGGCGGTGGGACATGTGATAGCAAAACAGAAATACAGAGGAAACTAGGATCACGACAAAATAATCTTACAACCTGTTTATGTACTAATAAATCTGTATCACCAAAGATTTTGAAATACAAAGGCCCGTCTGTGTCCTCTTCTGCGTTCCGGCGATTCTTACAAAATAATTTGAAATTTCGAGTCTTATGTTTCATAGTTAAGTTCACCAGCAGTAGATTGAGCAATTTAACACTTTTGCTTTAGATTTTGTTTAGTTATGCTGGCAGGTGCTCACGATCGGCGACGTATTTGGTTAGTACCTTATAAATAAATGAATGAATGTTGTGAAACTTATACAAACAATGCAAATCTTGTATTTTTCATTACATAATTCATCTGATCAATATCCGGACTGCAGTTAATTGCTCCTCCAACCCCTCTATGTTTGTCAATTCTATCTTCGAATGAATTTAAACAAATCAACTGTAAGAAACAAATAAATAGTTGTATTGTGAATGACTATATAAATCGAAGTTACATGAAGGTTCCAACTAAAAATGAGATAAAGTTAAAGTGACATTCACATGCAAGCTAGTAACTCATTCAAGTTCATTCACAATACACCTATACAGGATCCTGAAAGGAACCGATATCTTCTGGGTTTTATCAGCTAAATGGTATTTTCTGGTAGAAATTGAATACTTCATATTTTGCAAAAAGAGAGTACAATAAAATCAGTCAATGTAATTTCAACATGACACTTCATTAAAAGTGACTTTTATGCTGATATTTGAATTATGATCCATCAAATTTCAAATTCCAAGAACAATATATCAAATGAGAACTCCCAATACAAACTATGCGTATATATATATATATATATATATATATATATATATATATATATATATATATATATATATATATATATATATATATATAAGGCCTTTATTGAGTATCTTTCCTTTTTTTTAAAAACAAAAAGCTGATCTGTTAACCAAAGAATTATTTATTTTCTTTTATATTTAATAGGTCCTCTTGTTAGTGGTCTTTTAAACAAATTTGGTTCAAGAGAAGTTGTAATTGTTGGTACTTTAATTTCAACAATATCAATTCTAGCTAGTACATTTATTTACAATTTGGATTTATTTATTGTTATATTTGGTATCTGTGGGGGTAAGTTATACTAATATAATCAATAAAAATTATTTTTTCTATTGTTTTGTATATTATGATGTTTGTTTTATTGGACATTCGTTTTTATGAAATTATGGATATTTATTCTTTTTAATTTTCTCGGGTTATTATAGTTAATGATATATATTTATACCTTTTTAAATCATACTACATATTTAAACAAAATTTTTAAGTTTGTGATCAAATTCAATCCGATCACGGTTTAATTTAAAATAGGTCAATCTACACGAATTTTTTTATTTTTTATTTTAATGTCACTCAAAACTATTTTGTATAGTTCATCCTATTGAAATATTATAATAAATCAATTTATTAGACACCATATTGAAAGGAAGGAAACTTGCAAATAATTATAGAAGGCCTTTTTAGTTTAAATCAATTATTACAATAGAAAACTTTTTATGAATATGGAGGTACGACTGCTGAACTCTTGAATAAACGGATTTCAAAATCATTGAATAAAATACTCTATTCAACTAAGCTCCAATTTATTTTCTCAAGTCGACCTTCCATTCATGGATAAACTTCCACTTTGGGCCACATCAATATGCATCTATAAATTTACTTGTTTATATAGGGCAAGTTATATTTGCCCGCACAAAGCGATCACTTTCTAAACGCATCTTAGAACACTACCCGGCATAGTTTTTAAAAGGAGAATGCATAATAATTACTAGTTCAATACAGGAGCATTTAATTAACTATGGACACATGGCTCTAAAGGAGTCTTTATTTAAAGTAATCTGCACAGTCAAAGGAATTGGATTGAATGGAATTCAAATGAAAATCTTATTCATTGCTGAGGCATTGGTGATCCACCAACTTAAACCTGAACTATGAGTGCAAAATTTTCTCTCATCCTTCCTTGGCCTTAATTCCATTTAGTAGTATGTTTCGGTTTATTTATTCCTTTTTTCACATTTTATTTTAAATTTGTTATTGATTTGTTAAATTACTGTTTCGTAATGTTAAACTTCAATCAGTTACCTTTAAACAAATATTCTTGATTATTCTTTTTTTATTATTATGACCATTATGTTTATCGTTTTTCTTCCTGTCTGTCAAACAGACAATTATCTTTCATAATTTTGACCTGTAAATTATTTTCACCCTTCTATTCTTATCTAACCTTTCGATTATTATGTAACCTATCCTTCTATAGACGTATATTCTCCATATAACTATAAATATGAATGAACAGCTTAAGTAAACGATTTCGTCGAGAAGAAAATTTGGCGAGACTCTAATTTAAGGACGAGCCAATCAGAAGCGTTTGAGCCATTTCAAGGTCACGGAGCCAAGTTTAACGCATGATGCGTACATACGATCGGTTTACAGCGGATTTTAGAGAAGAGGTTATTATTGAGAGGCTACAAGAGATGGGACTACTAAGAAGTTCTTGTACGTGTGACTGCGGTTATCAAATGACTGCAGTAAAGTGTGCAGACCACCGCCGTGAGATTATATTCCGTTGTCCTCCATGTTGGAGGAAAACGTCTGATAGAACGGGGACTTTCTTTGCTCGATCGCGACTGAAATTGAGGCAGATCATGATAGTAGTTGCGAATCGGGTAATAAAGACACCAGTAACACTGGCTGCGGCATTTGCAGATGTTACTGAAACCTCAGCAGTCCAGTGGAATGAGTACTGTCGTGACATATGAGAAACTAAAATGACAAGTATACACCAATCATTCTGAGGAGTAGGATGTATCGTGGAGATAGATGAAACGGTAGTGAGAAAGATAAAATACAACAGGGGGCGTAGTATAAAGGAAGATTGGGTAAGGAGCATTTTCGTAAATATACTTGACAGGTATTTGGGATTTATGATAGATCAACTCGAAAGGGACATTTTCATATGGTCCCAAACCGGCAAGCAACCACAATAATACCAATAATACTGGAATACGTGCTGCCGGGTACTACGATATATACGGATGACTGGAGAGCATATAGATGTCTTCAAAGACTTGGATATGTCCATCACGTTGTAGTCCACAAACGTCATTTCGTTGACCCTACAACCGGGGTTCATACTAATAACATTGAAGCGATGTGGTCAAGATTGAAGGAGTTTTTAAGACCATATCACGGCTCCAAAGGTCGACTATTATGGAGCCATATGGATAAGTTCTTATACCGTATGCAATATGATTTCAAAACATCTGAACCTTTATCAAATCTCAACAAGTTTTTAAATCATATAAAAGAAGTACATCCACTGTAATTCATTAGTTTCTTCTAATATATTTTTACTTTCTGATTGGCTAATATTCTCAAAACTCCGCCTGGAGCCCCTTTCCGGAGGCTACTGCCGGTCCCAAGCCCGGATAAAGGAGGAGGGTTGGGCATGGGGTTAGCGACCCCATCCCGTAGAAAACTAACTCGCTAAAAATACGCTAACCAGAAAAAATTATTCAAACCATTTAAACACTGCCCTGGGAGTCAGAAGGTCTTCGTTTAGAAGAATTATGACGCCTCACGATGAAAGCCGAGTTTCTTCGGAAGTCACGAGGCCGATGCCCCTTCTGACAACCAGAGCAACCATTTATTTAGGTACATGGAATGCTCGCACAATGTGGGAGACTGGGAGAGTTTTCCAAATTGCTGCAGAAATGAGGAGATACAATTTAGAGGTGCTTGGGATCAGTGAAACACATTGGACGCAAGTTGGACAACAACGACTAGCTTCAGGGTAGCTGCTGTTATACTCCGGACATGAACAAGAAAATGCTCCACATACACAAGGAGTTGCATTGATGCTGTCCAAACAAGCACAAAATGCACTTATAGGATGGGAATCTCATGGACCAAGGATCATCAAAGCCTCCTTCAAAACCAAGAAAACGGGGATTACAATGAACGTCATCCAATGCTATGCGCCTACCAACGAATACAACGAAGACGCTAAAGATCAATTCTACGATAGGCTTCAGTCAATCGTCGAGAAGTGCCCAACAAAAGACCTGACTATTCTAATGGGAGACCTAAATGCCAAGGTTGGAACTGACAACACCGGATATGAAGAGATCATGGGACGACACGGACTGGGAGAAAGGAACGAAAATGGTGAGAGATTTGCAAATCTCTGTGCCTTCAATAAACTGGTCATAGGCGGGACTATATTCCCACATAAACGCATCCACAAAACCACATGGACTTCACCGGATCACACCACACAGAACCAAATCGACCATATCTGCATCAACAAAAAGTTCAGGAGGACGATGGAGGACGTGAGAACAAAGAGAGGAGCTGATATAGCATCAGATCATCACTTGCTGGTCGCCAAGATGAAATTGAAACTCAAGAGGCACTGAACAACGGGGAGGACAATATCACAAAAATTTAATACGGCTCTTCTTCGGGATAATGACAAACTCAATAAATTCAAGATAACCCTTAGCAATAAGTTCCAAGCCTTTCATGATCTACTCAATGGAGAAAGAACTACTATGGAGAGCAACTGGAAAGAGATAAAAGAGGCAATCACTTCAACATGTCATGAGGTTCTGGGCCAAAAGAAGCACCAGCACAAGGATTGGATCACGGTCGATACACTGGATAAGATTCAAGAAAGGAGGAACAAGAAAGCAGCAATCAATACCAGTCGAACAAGAGCAGAAAAAGTCAAGGCACAGGCTGAATACACAGAAGTAAACAAGCAAGTGAAAAGGAGCATCAGAACTGACAAACGTAAATATGTGGAGGATTTGGCATTGACGGCGGAAAAGGCTGCCAGAGAAGGAAACATGAGACAACTGTATGAAACAACAAAGAAACTCTCTGGAAATCACCGTAAACCAGAACGGCCAGTAAAAAGCAAGGAAGGCAAGATAATCACCAACATTGAAGAACAACGAAACAGATGGGTAGAACACTTCAAAGAACTCTTGAATCGACCAGCCTCACTGAACCCACCCAACATCGAAGCAGCACTCACGGACCTCCCAATTGATGTTGGCGCACCAACAATTGAAGAGATCAGCATGGCTATCAGACAAATCAAGAGTGGCAAAGCAGCAGGACTAGACAGCATTCCAGCAGAGGCACTGAAAGCAGACGTAGCGGCAACTGCAAGGATACTCCACATTCTCTTCAGAAAGATCTGGGATGAGGAACAGGTACCAAAAGACTGGAAAGAAGGACTTCTAGTCAAAATACCAAAGAAAGGCGATCTCAGCAACTGTGACAACTACAGGGGAATCACTCTTCTTTCAATACCAGGAAAAGTCTTCAACAGGGTATTGTTAAACAGGATGAAGGACTCCGTAGACGCCCAACTTCGAGACCGACAGGCAGGATTCCGTAAGGATAGATCGTGCACAGACCAAATCGCAACTCTACGGATCATTGTGGAACAATCAATTGAATGGAATTCATCACTCTATATCAACTTCATCGACTACGAAAAAGCATTTGATAGCGTGGACAGAACAACCCTATGGAAGCTTCTTCGACACTACGGCGTGCCTCAGAAGATAGTCAATATCATAGGGAATTCCTATGATGGATTGAACTGCAAAATCGTGCATGGAGGACATTTGACAAAGTCGTTCGAAGTAAAGACTGGTGTTAGGCAAGGTTGCTTACTCTCACCCTTTCTCTTTCTCCTGGTGATCGACTGGATCATGAAGACATCAACATCTGAAGGGAAGCACGGGATACAGTGGATAGCTAGGATGCAATTGGATGATCTAGACTTCGCAGATGATCTGGCTCTTCTATCGCATACACAACAACAAATGCAGGAGAAGACAACCAGTGTAGCTGCAGCCTCAGCAGCAATAGGTCTCAATATACACAAAGGGAAAAGCAAGATTCTTCGATACAACACAGCATGTAACAATCCAATCACAATTGACGGAGAAGCTTTGGAAGATGTAAAAACCTTTACATATTTGGGCAGTATCATCGATGAACACGGTGGATCTGATGCAGATGTGAAGGCACGGATTGGCAAAGCAAGAGCAGCA